TATTTGTACGTGCCTGAACATTTGGCTGAACATTTGGATGTACGTAAACATATGAACGTCCTTGAATATTTGGCTGAACATTTGGATTTATGTGAACATATGAAAGTTCTTGAACATTTTGACGTGCTTGAAGATTTGGTGAATGTGTCTGAAGATTTGGAAGTGCGTGAAGATCTTGAGCTTGAAGATTTGAACGTGCCTGAATATTTTGACGTGCCTGACGTCTCTTAAGATTTGAACGTGCCTGACGTCCCTGAAGATTTGAACGTCCTTGACGTGCTTGCTGAACGTCTATGATTGGCTGATCTTCATTTAAGTGTTTCTGAACATCCTGATCATCCTTTGAACTTGCTGGACGAGTTTGTTGAACATCTGTGATTGGCTGATCTTCATTTAAATGTTTCTGAGCATTTTGATGCGCCGGATCATCCTGAACATTTGAACTTGCTTGCTGATCAATTTGATCATCATTTGTATGTGTGTGATCTTCATTTGAACGTACTGAACGTTCCTGAACATCTGCATGTGCGTGATCATGATGATTTTGTAATGGCATCTTCTCTGATTCATGTTTATTACTTAAAATAGGAATCGGTATTGAAGGAATGATGATTTCCGGAACCATCGGAGTTTCATTTGAAGGAATGATAATTTCCGGAACCATCGGAGTTTCATTTTTTGGTATAGAAGCAATCCTTGGGCGACTTACAGAACGAACATTTGCCTTTGACGATCTCTCTTCACTTTTCTTTTTGTTTTGACCCTTTCGTTGAGCATTGTTGATACTTTTCTTGGTTACTTTACCCATGTTGACTAAAAAGAATTTGACAAATATATTTTTTAATCACATGATCATATAACAATAATAAACGTTTGGTAATATTTCTTACCAATATGGAAAATAAAATATAACTTTCAAAGTACTAAATAAAAATATACAAAAGTAAAGATTTAAGCTTATTGAAAAGTAATATAACAATATTTTCTTACTATTAACTAATCTTACTCAAAGTATATTATACTCAAAAACCTTACTTTCTTAAATTCTTCTTTTCTTCGTCTTATAAAGTTTTGTCGGAAAAGAAAAAGCAAGGAAGTAAAATTATATTAAATAAAAAAGCACCAAATATCTTAAACGCATTTTTTTTCACACACATTAAACTACAGTATATAGTCGGTCAATTCCAGATACATTTCCCTTTTAGAAAAAAGATTTCAGGTACATTTCCCTTTTAGTGCACATTTCAATACTTTTATTTATAATAATAATCAACTAATGTCTCCAATAAAAAAGTGAAATTTGTATTACATTTAATAATATAAATAAATACTTGTAGTAAAAAGAAGTAATTTTTTTTTTCCTTTTATTATATACAAAGTGATCATATAATCTAACAAAGTATACTTTATATCAATTTTTTCTACAAAAAATGAAATATATATTAAAATAGCATTATAAAGTTGCTTATAAAGTCTATTAATTAAAAATATATTAAATTTATATATCAAAATTATAGGTTTTTATAAATTAACAATGTGGGAGATGAGATGGTCAGTAAAAAGGGGAAAATCCAAATTTTGGTCAAAATTTATATTATTGGATCACTTGGCTGATTTCAATCATATGTATAAATTTAGCTTAATAATAAAAATTAATAAAAATTTTGGATTTCCTCCTTTTCTACTGATTGCTTTTCATATAGGAGCTTTGTAGTAGAAAGTAAGAAAACTCTAAAAAAATTTTTTTTTGAATTTCTAATATTAACTATTCAAATTTAGTAAGTTTAAACTATAAAATTTTTAATTGTAAATAGCAATATTAATTACAATAATATAAATTATTATTAATATATAATTCTTATAAATTTAATATTAAATAAAATATTTATTATAAGCAATATCTTATTATCCCTTAAATCGTAGGATTTTGCAGGCAAATTTGCCTGCTTATTTATTATAAATTCTCTTCTGATTTACTTTTATAAATAATTAATATTTTTTAAAATTTTTTTTTTTAAATT